TAAAGATTAGAAAAAAAGCCTATGCTAGAGAAGTCAAGAAGAAGTCTGGAAAAGCACAGTTTGGGATTAATTGCTTCTGTTACTTGAGTAGATAAGGCCAAAACCTCAAGTCTCAACACTAGAGTCGGAGAAGAATTTATGGTAGCAACCCAAACACCAGAAGTCACAGATGCAACAATCTTGCCTAATCCAAATAGCAGTTTGCCAATCACTGAATTTTACAGCATTTGGTTTGTCTGAAGAAAAACTTAATTTATGGTCCCAGACACAGAGTACACTAGAAGGAGAACATGATTTTAACCAGCATCAGGCGGTAACCAAGAGTGACAGCTCAAGCAATAAAAAGGTAGAGAAAATTATAATTTAGAGGAAGTTAAAACCTTGGGAACAGAGTAACATAGTTTAGTACTTATTTTGGTAACAGTATTTTACAGAATTATAGATTGGAATTGTGGATTACAAATTGCTTGAGGCAAGCAGAACATTCCAGGCAGGTAAAATTGCTAAGTGCCTGAAATGGAAATTACCCTGATTAAGTATTAAGCATCCACCTCCAAGGCTGGGTTGGGTTTTTGTTTGTTTGTTTGTTATCTGTTTTGGTTTGGGTGGGGGGTTTTTTGCACATCCATGTACAATGATACATTTACATTATCTGTATACAAGAGCTGGAGACAAGTATTCCTTCACAGCTGGCACTGCCAAACATTAGAAAAAGCTTAATAGATTAAAAGAAACAACGGCACTTGAAAAAGCAGAGGTTCATTGGTAACAATAAAAATACTTACACCTTCATCTGCAGAAGTAATACCAAGTTGCCAACAAAACTAGTTAAAGTTACTTAAATACATACTTTTTTCCAAAGTTCTGAAAGAAAAATCCTTCTCTACCTCAATAAAAGTGGAGCTATGCTATTTTTTTATTCTAAATGGAGATAACATGAATGATAAAGATGATTAAATGCAAAACTGAAAGTTATACCCAGAAGGATTTTAATTAGATTTTTTTAAACACAATAGCTGTTGGCTGCAAGTAGACAATGAACTAAGTGGTACAGAGAAAGCAGAGAACTTTTGAAACAAACTCCCATCTTCTTGTAAGCATGGTGGCAATGGAAACTAGTTCTTACGTAGCTTTAAGGAAAGGGATGCTGGTTCAGGCCTGTGTGTCAGACCAGGTGCTGCTGATGGCCTTCCTTCCCACAGTCAGGAACTCCTGGGAAGAACTGCTCGGGGGGCCTGCTCTTCTTCTGCAGGCAGGACCAGGACGAGGGAGCAGGGAGTGCTAAGGTGACCTGGAGCAGAAGCCTGTCCAGCCTTCCAGGCCAGGACTTGGGTTACACTGAGTGTAACCTCATGTGAACCATGGGGGCGTCCCCAGAGTTCATCACCCTGGTCACACCTGTCAGCAGCAGCTGTTCACAGCAATCTGCACTGGGGACCAATGGCACAGGACAGCTACTCTCAGGAGCAAGCTATAACATCCCAGGAACACCCAAGAGATCAGGCAAGAACACTCCTTTGCTTCAATTTCTCAACAATTTTACATGCCAAAGGTTTGTTTCTGCTAGCTTTACCACCCAGCCAAGAATAACCACTGCAACAAGGTTTGGTAGGGAGCACCTGAGATGACCCTCAGGCTCCCTTACAACTTTCAGCATATAACAAAATAACAGAAATAACAGAAGTCTGGTTCTAGTGCTATTTCCTCAGTAACTATGCTGCCAGAGATACTAGATCTTAGAAGTCAGTAATTTCCAAAGAGCTGCTCCACTTCAGAAAACACCAGCAGGAACTAACAATTACAAGCCATTATTTCTTCTTATCAAATAGTGATCACTAAGTACATGATGTCAAAATGTCCATAATGAAATCCTCACACTTAATCACAGAATCATCACAGATTGATTTGGGTTGGAAGGGACCTTAAATACCATCTAGTTTGAACCATCTGCCAAGGGCAGGGACACATTCCACTATACCAGGTTCTTCAGAGCCCCATGCAACCTGGCCTTGAACACCTCCAAGAATGGGACATCCACAGCTGCTCTGGGAAACTGTTCCCGTGCCTCACCACCCTCACAAGACTTTATTCCTAATATCTAATCAATTTATGCACCATGTTTCTCAGGGAAGATCCTAGCTTCCCTTTCTCAGAGAAGAGCCTCTTCAATAAAACGGCAGAAATACCATACAGAAGATCCTACCTTATCCAACAATTACCAGTTATTTGTAGATAAGCATTGTGAAAGGAATACACAACCACTTCCAGACATAAGCAAGTACTTATAAAATTAAAGAGAAATTTTGCAATTGCTCGGTAGAGCAAGAAATGCTGCAATACATTTTTAAACATATCTCCTAATGGCTCTAATTCACCAAATTTAACATAAAACAGACAACTTCCTTTCTAAATGAAGTGGTCTACATATTCCATAGAAATTGAAATTTTTAGGGCTCTAGATATTTTAAATACTACCTTATAAATATTTCCATATGTAAGCAGTAATAATCACACACAAGATACTTACTTCTACTTTCTATAAAATGTATTACAGCAGATCAGACTAAGTATTGTTTTAAAATGTTATTTGTAATAGATTGTTTCAGAGACAAGCACAGGAACTATTCACATTTGAATTAAAATTGCATTCATACCTAGACCTTTCATAAAACTCAACAGTTAGAAGTGCTGCACTATTTCTCGAGTTTATTTGTTAAAACGGCAAGTAAGATGCATCCATTCCTCACTGGAGTCACCAAGGAAAAGATTGGAAATCATTAAAAAAATCATTCAGAATCTGCTAACGCCTTTGATGGTACTATGATAAACGCCCATAGATTAGCAGCCAAAATACTTTTAATCTCAGTTTGATTTGTGTTTTAGAAATATCCTCTCAAGACCAGTGGTAGCAAGAAATTTTTTTTAAATACTTAAAGATCTGCCAAATTAAATTATAATCCTGTATCTTGTGCATTTTATGGATAGTTTTGCATTTACATTATTGCAATTAGTTTTTAAAGCACAATAAACCAAAATACTTCAAACACCAACAGCTCAAAATACTGAATGCTTTGCCACTTACCAATTTCAGTGTTTAACAACAATTCAATGTTTTATTGTGTTGTGAAAATGTAATCTAATATATCCTTAGAATCGAAACCATGGCAGCATTTTCTTTGCTATGAAAGATCCTGTTTAAGTTACATTGATAGAACAAATTTGATTATTCAGTGTGAATATCTTTGGAATGGCTAGTGAACTAAAGTGTTTAGATTCCTTAACAAACCGTTGAGAACTAGATCACTAAGAAACTGTTTAACTGATCAGATTATAAACTCAACTTAATAGGATGAGGTAGTAAAAAAAAATTTGACTCTACTTGTTTTAGACAGTAACTCTGGTGCCAGAGGTGGAATGCTTTCAGAGACCCTGATTTAATAAACTTAATTACCTCAGGCTCATGATATGTCAATGTTAATGCCTGAGTTAGTTTTCACTGAAGGGCAAACCCCATTAGGAACACTGATGCTCGTTCTTAATGTTCTGTAAGAGGCAGAGCTTTAGAACCCACAACACACACACACTCAAAAACTACATTCATAAGTTAACCTTGAACTGCAGCAGCTTCTGAATTAGCAGCAAGCTCCAAATTAGCAGCAGCTTCTGAGTTAGCAACAGCTTCCTGCTGTGCTTCCTCCATAGCATGGGATACTTCTGGAGCCAGTAAGTCATGCTCCCCTCCAGCTTCTGGGGATACCCCAGAAGTCTCATCCTCTACTCTGGGTCCAGCACTCTCATCCTGTGCTGCAGGTCCAACAGCAGCTGCTGCATCAGCTTCTTCCGTGGCCTTCTCTGCTTCAGTGACTTCATGCACCTCTTCTCCATCACCTTCTAAGAATTTATTCAATACAATAAAGAGAGTAAAATGCATGCATGCAACAAAAAAATCACCAACTACTTTTTATCATCATCCTCATTTAAATGTGAAGTGGAAAGCTAAGGCTTGGGCATCAGAATTAACAAAAAGATCAATAATTAATCCCTCATATTGTCTGATGTGGCATCAAAAAGCTATGTTTATAAGATGAGGAAACCATATTCTTAATTACTGAGTTTCATAACATGTTTCAGTGTGATACGAAAAGAAACTGTGGCTTAAAGCAATTATTGGGGGAGCAGGGAAGGATAACAAAGGACATTGTCAAGTGTTGCTTGAAACCACTCTGCTGAAAGGGCCAGTGATGGTACACACACAGGTGCCAGAGGGAGCATGACTCTGTGGAATAACCACGTGGGGAAGAAGACATTTGGTTTTATACAAGTGAGAAAATAACTTCCTAATTTCAAGTGGTCAGAGCTCTCTTTCTTAGATATATGACCACTTAGAAGCGACTATTTTCTTTTTACAGCTCACAACTATCTTTTAAAGACTTTTTTACACCACTTTGGGTCCAACTCCTTAGAACCTGAAAAACAATGTTTCCCAGCCATGCATCACTTCAAATTCAGCTGAGACAAGTCATGAAAAACATGAAACAGCACAAAGCAAGATAGATGCTCAACCACCATGCAAACATGCACTAGCATTATGTTCACAAAGGAAAAGTTATACTGTTCATCAACAGTATAACTGTTCATCAGCTGTTCGTCACAAGTTCACCACTAGAACCGACTCACTATGTAAAAAAAACAAACTGGAAATAAGTTTGTAACACAGTGTAAGCTATGTGAGAATTGAAACAAAAGAGCTTAAAGAGACACAGTCAGAGTTTGTTTGAGTCTTTTGTATCTGTTTAAAAACTAAACAGATCAATTTTATTTCTTGATATTCTCATGCCAGTGAAAGCCTATAGTTTTGGTTCAGGTTTCAAGACAAACCCATTCATTGCTCAGTAAAAATCAAAACTTTGCATTATGCAACCTGATCATGTCCCTTTAAGGAAACACTGTTTAAAAAAAATCGTTAACTCATTACACAAAGAACAGGCTAACAGCCAAGATCAGCATTCAGTACACTTTATTGGACAGTCAAATATAGAGTGCATTAATTCAGAACAGCCAGCTTCTCCATCTCAGAACTGCCTTCTACAAAGCAGATTCAGTAATAAGCTCAATATGGTTTGGCCTTGCAAACATAGGTAGTTCTTTTAAAGTCTCACACAACTGGGGCTTTACAATAGAAGGCACAAAGTCATCCCAAGGTAGGCTGCAATGTACTCAATGGTAAACGATTGTCCTTTGTTTGTATTTAACTTCCTCAGGTTTGGAAAGATATTTCCCTTGTGTCTGGAAAGTGTAAAAGCAGAACATAGATTAGAAAGTCTGGAAAGTGTAAAAGCAGAGTATAGATTAGAAAGATTGAATCAGCTTGCAACGAGTTAAAAAGAAAAATCTTAGCTATAAAAGAAGAAATTGGGAACAATCTTAAAGGACAAGAACAACAAATGGAAAACAAAACTCAGTATTCACTAAATAAGCAAGGAGAACATCCTGCAAGCCAAACATCATTTTACATCTCAAATGATGTCCCAGATTTTCTACTGCTACTTTGAGTCAGGTTTCTTCCAGGGGCATTTTAAATCCCTCTCTTATTTTTAGAGTAGCTTTCAGTTAAAAAGAACCACAGAAATTTTGCTATCAGATCTCTTTCTAAATGTCTGTTATCATTAATTAAAATATCATTAAATATAATTTCAACCCACCAATAAACAAAGAACCCTAGAATGATTCTTTCTCTTGTTTTGACAGACTTGTTTGCTATATACAGTTCTCTGTAATAGACATTTTGTGTTCAGGCATAAGGGGAGAATTTTCCCCCACATGAGAAATTACAAAAATCCTATCAAAAGAATCTCTGATCAGCTGCTCTCCAGCATTCAGTTCTTCCACTTAGGAAGTTCTTCTACCATAGGCAGCAAATATGCCATGAACATGCTGCTTGGCATATGCTTTTCTATCCACCACTTCATATGGTTACCAGCTCGGTTTTAGAGCTTATTTTAAGCTTGATTTAATATGCCCCTAAAAAAATATCAGAATACTTTGAGAACAGAATTTTTAACTGCTCTTATGAGCAATGCTTACTGTGAAAATGTGTAAGGACTGACTCTAAAGAATGCACAGGGAAAGAAACTGCAATGGCACTTCTGTGAAAAGCAATACTATTCTAACACTCTGTGACAAGATAAACACAAAAATATGACTATGGAAGGAATGGGAGAAAAAAGGGAAGGAAGAAGGGGTGTTAACTCTTTCAAAAATGCACACAGAGGATTCTGTAGGAAAAGTAAGAACAGAACTGATGCTCGTTCTTAATGTCCTGTTCTTTTGGGTGTACACATCTGGGAATGAAGAAGGATTTAAAAAAGGAGCTGATTCAACGGTGGTTTAGTACTGTGAATTAGAATTAGCTACTCAGAAGTCCAGCTAATAACTCTGGGCTGAGCATTTATTCAGAAGTCAAACATTGAAAATAATACAGGAAACAAGTTTCAGCTGTATTCACTGAATGGCCTTAGAAGCATTTTGGACTTCTTACTATCAATAAAAAGGGAGGCAGCAATCATCTGCCACTGGTTGTGACATTTATGCAACTTATTAAGCAGCAGATGATGGGATATCAGAGATAACCTACAATCAGTTGCTGAGCACTCAGTACTGCTCAGGTATTTCACTCCAACATGGCCAGGGCCAAAACTCAGTACCTTGCAGAAGTGCACCTCAAGAGGAAAGAGAGAATACACTGACATCACTGGGAATATGTTGGAAGGCTTGCTTAATGCTTCCCCGTTCTCCCAACTACGGCAGTCAGAATGTAATAAGGGTAATCCTTACACCTGCCCTGAATAGCAGAAGACCAGGTCTCTAGGAGAGATCTACTTTGGTCCTCGTTACATTTTCTATTTTAGGGGCAAAGAAGAATTGCAAATTGTGGCTGAATTCTCAGTATTTATATAAACAACTGAGTTTTAAAACTATACTGTGTTCAGCTGCTTTCTTTTTTGGAAATTAAGGTATTTTACTAATTTAATTCTTAAGATCTGTAATTTTAATGTTCTGAAACTAAAGCATGTGTTGTAGAAGTTCAAGGATAACAACTTCTAAAGAAATAATTATACAGTCAGACAATTTAAACCATGGTCTCATGGTTTAAACAAAATTTAAACTTGAGATACTTTATTCAAACCTATTCTTTGTGTATATGTAAATATATAAATATATTATTCAATTCCCTAGAAGTAAATCTAAAAAAAAAAAAAAAAGGAAGAGCTTCAAGTGTTCTGGCTTTAATACTATATTTAGTTTTTAAAATAGTAACCAAATAAAAATGTATAAAGATGCTTAAGAAATTTTCCTAATTTCTTTTTCTAGCAAGGCCATGCTAGCCAAAGTTATACCTTTGACATTAATGCTATAACACTAATTAATGTAGACAGGGACAACATTCCATTACAAGTATTTGAACTAACATGGTCTAATTATTCAAGTATGAAGACCTAAGGAAGGATTTGCTATACATTTAGGTAATGCCTGCCTTTCATTTAACCCTAAATTAGAAAAAACAAAATCAAAGTTGTAGGAAAAAAATTGATCCAAGTTAGAATAGTTTTTTTTAAATGTAGGTGTTTTTTTCCCCTATTGAACTGTATTTTCTGATGGCATGTGGCCTGAAGCCAACCTGTTGACTGAAAAAGATATTATCTTTTCCTCCCCACTGCAAACAAAAGCACAGAATTTATTTTGACAGCATTATGTATTCAGTCAAGTTTCATTAAGCTTCCAGTAAATCAAATACCTATTATATAATTCACACATCAACTCTTTCCATCTGAAGAGATTCCACAGGTGGATCAAAGACCAGATTCACTGCCTGAATATTAAGGCCACTAACAAAATTTGTGCAGCAGCAGCTTTGTAACAGAACAATACTGCACAACCACCTCTGTCTTCACTCCCACTCACACAGTTCAGACAAGGACAATGGACAGTGCCAAATCCTGATTAGACAATCCAGAAATCTGTTCCAAACCCTCATGTACCCAGGGAACAAGACAAAGGAGCTCAACTCACCCTTCCTTGACCAAGGATTGCTTTTCTGCCCCTCGGTTCTCTCATGAAGAATATTTGAATGTTCAACAAACTTGCTGCGGGATGAACTGACTAGTCTGTAGGCCTGAAAGGAAATTATACCTGAATTTACAGCTACATCTCTACAAATTTACCAAACAAATGAGGGGAGAGGAGGAATTTTAAGCAAGTGCTACAGCCCATCTTAAAATGCATATAAAATTTATCCTAAGCAAGGTTAAAAAAAATTAACAATCTGCTATACTAGTATATTTATGTATTTCATATATCTCCATTGTTAGAAAGCAAATACAATATACCATGCAGCTTTTGAAGTGCTGCAGTGTTTCAGGAATTGAAACCAGTTTTTTAAAAGATAATTATGTTAAGGCTTCTATTTTTGCAATGTGGTAAAAAAACGGAAGAGAATATGTTATTCATCCAGAAATGCAATCATACATGTTTGATATTTTGAACAAATAACTACTTACCATTCAAGAGAATTACTCTGTGGGACAGGGAAATATGTATCTCTCTGGGGTGTGCTAGGCACTATCTCAGATCTTGGGGGAGAGGGCTAGAAGTAAGCTATAGAATGGAGGATTTAGGGATGTGAAGCATCAGATACATTTAGAAGCAGGGAAGAGAATGATTACTGTAAAGTTTAACAAAAGCAGATGCTTACAAAACTTCAACATGCTTTCTTGAAGTAACTAATGCTGATATCGTCTTTTTTTTGTGCCCAAATTAACAAGGTTCGTATGTTCCCCTTGCAGCTTCAGATTGCTTATTTCACATCTGCCTTGCCCACTTTGAAACATTACTAATGTTTCTGGTTGACAAGACAAGGCAAGGGGTTAGAGACAGGTGCCTTACTCAATCTTTGGACACATTATTTTCATATAGTTTTAAATATGCTTTCCACTAAGAGTGACCCAGTTATCAAAATAACAGTAAAACAGGCAAGCAAGCAATAGGCTTTCACCTTTGCTAAATTCTCTTAAGCTGATTTCTAAGTTAGGCTGCACTTAGCTATATGCTACAATATCTACGTTCATTAATGGTTTGCATTTTGACCATACTCTTTAAGAGAGAACACACTTATACCATGCTGGCTCAGAAAGCACAAACAGCTCCATCCCCAAACACTTACATAAAATAAACCACCAAAAGCAGCAACACCAGCAAGGAGATAGATCATCATGCTGTCTCTAGAAGAGCCAGGAACACTCCCAGATGACATCTGGCGAGGAGGTGCTATAAAAACCATTAGGTAAATTGATGTAAAGTGCTGCTAAAATATGATCCAAAAGAGAATTATGGAATCTGAACTCTGTGTGAGAAAGGATTATTCAAAAAGGTTATAAAACAAATGTTGATGTATACTGATGTATCCTAAGACTGAACAACACAGGGTATGGTGCTCCATGGCTGAGCTCTTCCTAAGAGGTTTTTCTGTGAACTACATTGTCTGCCATCAGCTTCTAAATACTGGGCACAGTCTATATAGACTAAGGAATGTTTTAAAAAAACCAAAACAACAACAACAACAACAACAACAACAAAAGTAGAAAAGTTCCTGACTAGGGTAGGTAAAATAATTATCTGTCCTTATTCCTTCTGATCAGCAGAAGTAATGAATTCTCTCTTCAGGGTAGTAACAGGAAATTAAAAAAAAATCTATTTCATTTGAATTCATGTTCTCTCATTCTCAGACTGCTGACACTTTGATACATACCCTTCATCTCATGAATTGGCCAACAGGGCAAAGAGGTAGAATTACACTATTTTTTACCTGACTGGATACATATTAACTCTAACAGCCGTGCTACCCATTCATTTGTTATAAACTGATTCCTACTACAGTCTTGGATTCATCTGTACACCTCAAAAAGAGACCCATGAAAAACACATGTAATTCTCCTGTCAACAAAGCTTTCTGTGGAATTTTGTGACTTGATCCCAGATGAGAAATGTCTCATTGAAAAAGCCCTCATAAAAAATAAAACGGCTCTGCGCATTACAATTGACAGCTGCAAAATAATCACAATGTCAAAACGATGCCATCGTGTGCTAGGTTATGTTTAGCATTATCTGCCTCATGACACAATTCTCAGACTGCTCTCCAATAGCCGGGCATTCTAATGGATTTGCATACATTTACATTTTCGTTCAGCAGCAGGGTGTCCTTAACCCCCTCCCCCGGGGCTGCTAGCTATAGCAGGATAGCGATCAGCAAGCTGCCATCGCCCAACACGGCTGGCAGAATTTTTTTGCCAGTGGTTACACAACCCCTGATGCGCCAAAAGCCGTGGCTGTGGCGCACCGGGGCCGGCAGCCCTGGAGGCACCGCCGCTCCGGCTGCTCTCTCGGGGGGTATGTTCCCGCTATTTTATATGGAAGGGAAGGCAGCAGCGGCCCGTTTTGCCGTGGGGCGGGGGTAGCGGACCTCGGACCGGCTCGGCTGCCCAGCGGGTCGCTGCGGAGGTCTGAAGCAGCCAGCGCCGGAGCCCAGGATGACGCGGGCCGTGTCCGGCTGCCGCCCACCGCCGCCGCACCTGGCCCGGCCGCACGCCGCCCCCGCCCGCCACCTTCGCGTCCCCTCCGCCGCCGCCCGGCCCGGCCCGCGCCCCGCCACGCCATCCCGGGGGCCCGGCTCCGCGGCGCTCCCGCGTACCACGCTGCTTGAGGCGGCCGGCGGCGGCAGGAGCCCTGCTCAGGCGGGAGGCCAGCGCCTGCGAGGCGGCCCTGCAGAGGGACATGGTGCCGGAGCAGCGGGCGGCGGCGCGGAGCAGAACGAAGCCGACTTCGAGCCGCCCGTCGCGGCGGGGATGCGGCGGCAGACAGCGGTCCCGCCTCGGGTGCCGCGGGGGCGGGCCGAGCCGCAGCCCCGCCCCGCGCACCTGGACGCCGCTGCCGGCCGGGGCCTCCCGGGACCGAGCAGAGCCCCAGCTGCAGCGGGACGGGGAAGCGGCTTTCTGCAGCGCAGCGCACATTGTGCAGGGCAGGGCGCTGCCGACACCGGCCTGCCCCATGGCAAGTAAACGGCTTCGGTACTGACTGCAACAACAGACCCAGGAGAACAGGGCTGGCACTTACCAAGGAGAGGGAAAATAGCGAGGAACTACTGTTTTACTTCAAAAGGCATTTCTCCAAGAGAAAAAAAAAAAATGAGACATCAACTAAATTAACGGCGAAGGGCACTCGGCTTAAGCACTGTGCCAAAGGCATTTCGTGTTGGCAGTGGAACACTCGAAGTGAATAGCTGCTCTGGGATCATGTCGACTGTCACAGTCATGGCATCTCCAGGTCAAACCTGTGAGCTATCCTTGTCCTGCCTACATTGTTAGGCAGTAGCCCCGTCTCTCCTCCTTTCTCTATACACAGCTTCTTTGTCCCCTCAATGATCACCTAATGCCATATTCTGCCAACTGCCACGACGCCATTTTTCCAGCCTTTGTCCTTGACTGACCTTGATGCAAGAAGAGAGGACAGAAGTGTTCAGAAGGCAGTGCTCACACCCAAGACTGACATGGGCTGTGCAGTCCATCCCCTCTAGGCACCTTTCAGGCACGGCCAGCTCCCAAAATACTCATAGGAAAATGCATATTTTAGCATTTTTACAGATCCTATTTTTATATTTGCTTATTTTATAAATTTAGCAGTGAAAGTGATGGCAGAGCAAGGCAACTGTGGAGTATTGACTGAACTTCATCTGAACTGATGGTTAATTTTGTAATATACCTTCCAGAATAGCAAAGGCAGTTTTGAAAATAAGACCGACAAACTCTGAAACAGAAATGAAAACTTCAAGACCAGCAGAATGAAATATTAATGGCAAAAAAAGTAGTTTCAGGTTTCTTCTAGACTTTATTTTTAATTATGCACATAAAATGTATGAACATACAAGTAATTAGATAACTTTTCACTTCTTCTGTGCTCATTTATTTGTATGACAACAACCACATACACATGGCCCTGTAGTGCACATATCTTTGTGACCATGTCATCAGCCTAAGAAAGAAAAGAAAAAATTCTTACCAATAAGAAAAATAGATGTGATGAAAGTGGCAAGAAACATCTCATAACATCCTGCATTTTTATCTGGAGAGGAATGTTTATGGGGAAAAATAACCATAGCACCACAAGTTTTTCTATAATATAAGGATTTTTTTCATGTGGCATATTAATTGCTCTTAGGCCATAATCCCCAAAGACTTCTTAGCTGGCAGAAACACAAATTACATTTTTGTACTGAAAAGGGACAATGACCACATACACTTTGCCCTCTAGTGCACATCTACAGGCACTGACTTTACATCACTTTTTGTGTAATATAGATGTGAAACTGAGAAAAAACATACTCCATTTTATACGTGTTAAAATAAAAAACAAGATGACAACATAAGCTATCATTAGTCACTCTTGTTTCCTTGACACTGAGCCATTTATAATGTATTCAATTTACAACCTTTATTGTAGACGGTGTAAGAGATATGTTATTTTCTAAGAGTTTGCATGTTCAAGATAGAAAGCTAAGAGGGAATACACACACAAGTGAATATGTGAAAATACAGATCGGCCACCTTATCATTTTAAAGCTGGAAATGATTTAAAAGAATACCAAAAGTCAAAATGCAAAGTACTGACGAAAAAAAGATGACTATAAGTCAGTTCAGTATCTTGACTCCTAAAAGATGTCAAAGATCTTCAGAATTTGTGTTCAGCTAAGCCAAAAGCTGTACGTGTATGCGCATACTTACTATGAGCATCCTGTACACTTATGTCCTCTCACTTGTTTTCTTCTTTCATATTCCATTACATCTTCATTATGCTGCTTGACAAGCTATAAAATAGCAGTATGTTATACACAGCTATACAGTTCACAGCTGGATCCAGACAACAAAAAGAGTTCTACAGAATATAAATACCTGTTACCAGAATGCAAACCTGTATGTAACTGGGACCATCCAGAACACAACGTATGTAAATTAACAACTGAAAAAGGTATAAAAATAGAGCCTCATAGGACAAACATTCTCTCCTGACCAGATGGGGGAGGGGGCTCCCACTGCCAATTAATTAACCACCCCCAAAAATGGGGAAAACCCCAAAGGGAATCCATCCCACTCTGAAAACACTGTCACCATGGGGAGTGCTGTTGATCCTACATGATTCTTCCTGAGAGCTACTACACCTTGCTTGCTTTAACACCATAAAGTCTGTGAGTTCCCTGAAACAAAGACTATCTTAAATCTGCACTTTGCTCAGTAAAAAGGGGTCTTAATGTATTGAAATCAGCTAAAACCACTTACTGAAAAGTAAGAAGAGAATGCATTGGTAGTCTGATAAACATAATCTGGGCATATCCCTAGATCTTCTTTCTTTTTTGGAAAGACCATGGGGAAAATAATGCCAAAGCATTAATCCAGCAGGCTTGAAGAATTAGTTCTGTTGTGGATGTTTTAAATTTGCAACAGAGAGAAGTTTAAGAAGTTGTTCATTTCTTAGAGGCACAGCATAAGGCTGGGAAACCATAAGTAATGAACATAATCATACTTCAAATTTGACACCTGCTATGACCATCCATTACCTCAATAAACTCAGTAGGTTGCAGTCACTGCATTCATATCGCTATTATGATTTTTAAGGAATAGTTAAGTTCAACAAAACCAAAGTTCAACTTACAAGAGCCCACAAGGCAGCACTGGTGCCAAATGCCAAGCCAACTCCCAGCCAGTTTGGTTGGGCGTTATTCTGTTTTCCCACAACAAATGCAGAACGAGTAAAAGCTAAAAAGGCACAAGGTTACAAATATATTAACATTCCTCAGGGTTAGACTACCAAGTACTTACTCACATTCATGCAATCAGGGAAAACAACCAAACCACAACACAAACCCCAAATGAAGGCAACGACGAAGTGGTCTCCATAACATGGTTATAGCCGATCCATTCGTAGGATCCCCGCAGCACACGCTCCCTGATCCGCCAGAGAGGGGACGGGGCGGGGAAGGGGGCTGCCAACAACTCAAAAGCGGTGCTTTTTGCCCGCTCCCCAGCCATAATAACTACTCCTCCCCGCATCTTCTGCTCTATAAGGATGCCTCTGACTGTCCCCTGCCTAAAGCTCCCAGCCCCACTCCGATCCCCCGCGCATCAAGCGCGCTATGCCGCAGCCTTCCCGCTAAGGGCCGGCACCACCGCCGCGGCGAGACACGTGAGCCCTCCCCCGGCCTGGAAGCAATACCAACTTAGAACAGATAAATAAAAGATTTTAAAAATAACTAGTGGGCTTCCATCAAAAACAGTAAAAGGAGAGAAGCTACCACCGAAGCTTCCTCTGAACCTGGAGGCGGATCGGCTGGCGGGGACGCCGCCGCCCGAGCAGGCAGCAGAGCTCCCGCGGCCCGAGGTCAGTGGGCCGGGCTGGGGCAAAGCCCACCGGCCTGCCCCGAAGGGGGCTCGCCCGCCGCCGCCGCCGCTCACCGAGGCTAGGTGTTGCCGCCGCCAGCCCCCAGCGCTGCACCGCCCTCAGCCCCGCCGCCATCTTGTCCACCGGACCCGGCTCCGCCCGCGGGGGCGGGACCACCCCGCCCCGCCCGTGCCCCGGCGCCCGGGCGGGCAAGCTCCGCCGCGCAAGACCCGGCGGACCCTACGCAACCCCATGGCTGCCCGCTCTTCCCCGCCCGGCAGCGGGCAGTGGCGCTGCCGCTCGGGAACCGCCCGCGGCCGGCCCCGGCTCCGCGGCCGAGCCCACACAACCGGCGGGGCGGGGCCGGCGCGGGGCCGCGGCGCATGCGCGGGGCCGCCGTGACCCGGCTGGGGAAGCGCGGCGCTGCCATTTTGGCGGCGGCTCGGCGGCCGCTCGGGACCACGTGAGCGCGCCCGGGGCTGGCGCGGGGAGCCCGGCGCGCGCGGCGGCCGGAGGGGCCGGGAAGGGCCGGGAAGGGCCGGGCCCGCGGGCGGCGGGCGGCGGGAGCGGCTCGGTTCCAGCGGGGAGGCTCACAGCGGCGGCGGCCGAGCGGCGGAGACGGGACGTAGCCCGCCCGCCCGCCCACTCAGTCTCCTCCTCGGAACCCCTCGGCGGCGCCGGAGCCGGCAGCGGGGAGGATGCCGTCTGTGAGCCTGCCGCCCAAGGAAAACGCGCTCTTCAAGCGCATCCTGGTGAGTGGCGGAGCGGGAGGCCCGGGCTGCGGGGAGAGCGTTGAGGAGGCCCCAGCTCGTACCCCGAGCCGGCGGGGAGCGGAGTCCCGGCGCCGCGGCCGCGGCTCCTTACGGCCGGGGCAGGCCGGCCCCAGCGCCGCCCGTCACCCGCACCGTGTCCGCCCGCCCGGGGCAGCGCCGGGGCTCGCTCGCCCGCCGGGTCCCGGCGCTGGCCGCGGTGAGGCACCCCGGGCTCCGCGAAATACCCCGTGGCCGCTTCATTCATCGTTCGCCGTTGCAGCCGCTGTCCTGCTGAACCACCCACCCTGGGTTCGCTTTTTATTTTTTGGTTTTTTTGTTTTATAACTCATTGTTTTGCTGTAGGCAATAACCATGTTTGTTGGTCGGTGAGAAGATGGCTTTCGAAGGAGGAAGTGGAGAAGGATGAAGGTTTTGAAGTCTTCCCGAAGTTTAATTTGCAGCCAACTCCTGTGGAAATTTGTGAATTGATTTTGCTGGGTGGCGGCTGGCGTATGGATGAGAGAACATTCAGTGTAATTTAGGCAAGAAGCCTGGTTTTCAGAATGAGGTTAAGATGGTCTACAGTCCAAATACCAGCAAAGTGGGCCCAATTCAGCTACATCTTAAGGAACTTGTTTCAGCTTTCATACAGTGTTGCGGGAACATTGTGTTTCTAAGGACTTGGGTTGAATTGGAAGCATCTTAAGTTTGTTATTGAGCAACTTCAGTGGATTTATTTAGAAGATTTTGTATCTAGATCGAGCTATTTTCTCTCAGAAGTCGATGTCTAAAAATCTCATGTTGTCTTTCAAAGAGACTTGCACAACTATTTTGAGTCATTCCAAAGAGCAGAAGTAAGACGAATACTGTTGTACTTTTGGAGCAACAGAACTCTTAAGGTTCTGTAAACTTTGGCCACTTAAATGGGAGGGATGTGTACAGTCTCCTGTCACTTCTGTTTCCAAAATATTTTGTGAAAATGGAGAGTGTAGAACTAGAAAGCCCTATGCACATGCATGTGGCCATGAGACATGCAGTTTCAGTTAGGGTTAAAAAGTAAATATGATGAACTATAAATCTGATACCTGATTTCTGCTTTGAAAGATTCAGTCATGCTTCCAAATTGGTATGGCCTTGTAATGAGTATGTAGTTTTTCATGTGTTATGGGCTGGGAAAAGTTCTAGCCTTGCTGCTCAGTGATCCATCCTCCTTTGCATTGAGGATGGTTTGTGTGATTACAGGGCACACTGAATCAAGGAGCTTGTCTGTGTTTAAATCTGAGTGGGTTTGGTTAGTTTTTTATTTCTGGGGGATTTTTTTTTGTTTGTTTGTTGTGGGGTTTTTTTGTTTGTTTGGGTTTTTTTTTAAATTTTTCCCTTTGCTTGGATGTGTCTGAGTATTTGTGTGGAGGGCAGGAACAAATAAGGAAAAAGAGTGTCTTTGGATAAAGTGCTGGCACAGCACCCTTGCATTCATAACTTGATTCAGCTAGAAAAGGTGTGCCCCAGTGCAAGCAGATTTCTCTGCGCTTTTTTTTAAACTGAAGATCTTTAATAAAAATAATGGAGTTTGAGGTATCTGGATAGGCAGTAAGCTGTTGTGTCATTTTGATCTTTTCCAGTGTCTCACAGGGATGAGCCTGTGAGACAGATGTGTAGTCTGTCTTATGATGTGATATCTTTATAACATCTGGTGAATAGAAAATGCTCAAAGCTGCTTTTCATCACACTGAAAATTATGCTAATGAACTACTTGTATGCCCTGTTTAATGACCCTACTTTGTGAAGTTTTGGTTATGTCTTTGGCTTGAATTAGTGAGACATCTTTTAGGAAGTCTTAAGTGCAGGCCATTAGAAAAAATACTTCCCTTCCGTGCCTTCACTCTTCTCTTCACACCTCTCTCATCCTGCAGCCTCTCCTCATTCTACATGTCTTTTCTGAAGACTGTAGCACTTCATCCTCTGCCACCTCTTATAGTGCTCTGTGGGAAGCTGAGCAGTAGGAGGAGTTGAAGTCTGCCTGTGCAGCTCTGAGGCCCCTGCCAGGAATGAGATGGTCCTGGGTAAACCCATGCTGCCTCCTGACCCAGCCAGGCCATGTGTCCTGTTCAGCATGCCTTGAAGTTTTAGCATGCCATCCACCGGGGAGCATGCCATGAGGTTTTATCAAGAGATGCTTTGGGAACTGGCCCAAGTGTTACTGAAAAGATGCAATACTTTACAAACACGTAGTTACTGGTACACAGTCTGTTAACACAAGTATAAACCCATTCCCATTCTCAGTTTCATGGAGATAATTACCACAGGAGCTAGGTGGATAACTGCCTTGTGTTTTTGCAAGTGAAGCATAAAGTTGGGTTTTTTTCAATCTGTTTTGTGTGTGTTTTTAATTCCTGAGGCCTCATCTCTTTTTTTGTTTTAAGATGTATACCTGTAACACAAATGTTGCCAACCTGCCCAGCTTTGCATAGCAAAGGACAATAATTGGCTTTTAGAGTTTGGGTTTTTTGTTTGTTCAGTAGTAAGCATCTTGCGTGGTCAGTACCTTTCTCTTATGTGTATAGGTTTGCTCACATACCAGCATTTCTACTTCCCTGACAAATTCTGAGTTCAGAAGTATGTACGCTTTGTCTTTGCATGTTCAACACACTGTAACTAGACTAACGTCTTTTAGTCACTCTACAGCCATGTAGAGTTTCTAATGGAAACATTTTTCCATTTGAAAGACATTTTACAATTCAGAGTTCCTGTAGTACAGCAGGAAAGAGATCTGCATAATTAGCTCAAATAAAAAAACACCCACAGGATTAGCAATGACTGTTCTCCTTAAACTTGAACTTCCATTTAAAAAGAAGTGTCTAGCTCATATAGTTTTTATAGTTTTAACTATTTGCTATTAGGTCTACAAGTAAATGTTCTACTGCTCAGAGATTCTGAGGAATTTAGAGCAAAAGTGGATCTCCACATTTGAACAGCTAAAATAATTGAGTCCTTGTGATCCTTTTGAACATACATAATTTGTAGGCAGTCCAGAAATTACTGGAGAAGAATTCACGTGAAGGCAGGGGAAATAGTAAACAAAGCACAGTAATGGTTAAGTTGGGATTTTGGTACACAGAAAGCTGGATGCACTAGGAAGTAATGGAAAAAGTAGTGTACTCCATTGCTTTCTCCCCCCACCACCCTTAGTATCAACTATAGAACTAGTAGTTGTAGGAAGTAAGATTGACTGATTTTTAATTAAATACGACTGATGAACATTGCTTAAACGTTCCTGGAATTTTGCTAAAATTCATCTGCTGTAGCTATCTGGTCAGGTACAGTTCACCAATGATGTTCACTTTTATTTCACAAATCGCAAAGATAATAAGTTTTCTTTGGATGTAGAAGTTAAATATATTTATTGAAAATATATTGAAGAAAAACTAAATACAGAGCTGTTAGAGGTGCCATATATTTTGTGGAAGAGTTTTTTCAGTCTCTTGAAACACCAGGATGAAGTTCTTGGAGTTCTGGCACGCTAAAGTGGTGCGAGTATTTTTCACCATGTGTAGTGATCTTAGCCGTTAATGAGCGAAGAGGAAAAAAATCTAAGTATTTCAGAAGTGAAACGTTGTTGTATTTTATGTTGGAAACAAGCAGTGCAGCTGTGTGTGTTCAGTCCTTGTTTAAACAGTTCTACTGGCTCACAACTCTGTTTTGTGCTGTAGAAGTAGTGTACTAAGGAAGAAGACGCTGTACTGGTCTGAACTGGTGGATATTGCATTGTATGAAGATCACAGTTTCCCTGTTCAGGACTGGGGATTAGCCATGGCTATTTTGACATATGGAAGCTATTAATCTTTCATTGCTATCAGTTTCCTTAGGTGCTGTGCAGGTTTGATTGGGAATGGCCAGAACCCGTGTGCTCCAGCAGGGCATTGCAGTAAGCAGGGTGTCTGCTGCAGGACAGGGACATTTCCCTTTCATGTGCTTAACATTGCAGTGCTTCAGGGCATTGTCTTTGAGCTGGTGGTCTTCCTTTCCATGCTGGCTTTGACAAGTGCTCTACTAAGTGATGTAGGAACTTCCTGGTGATAAAAAGCCTGTTGAACAACCTCTCTTCGGTGCCTCTGCTGTAAATATGCCAAGTCCCTCATACTGGGCCATCTTCCTGTTTCTTCATTCCAGAATCTGCTTCCTGTCCTTGCACTTTGAAACTAGACGGATCACTGTTTCTCCTTTACTAATCCTTTCATCAGCATGAATCCTTTAAAAATACTGTTCTGTCCATAGAAATTCATGTGCTGACTTTAAGATTGCTGAGGTGACAAGACTTGGAAATCTTCTCTTAAGTCATCTTAATTCAAGATTAGGGACTTGATTTTCAGAATTTCATTTTTATCAGTAACCAGGTAAACTAGTGTGTTTGCAATTATTGTT